CGCAAGCCTCGGCGTTGCTCCCGCGCCTCACTCAGCCAGTGAGCGGGAGCCGGTCTGTATGTGGGATCCGAACCCTCGGACGGGAGCGCCGCCGCGCTTCCCAAGCGGCGCACTATCCAGTGCGCCACCGGGCCGGCCCTATAAATACTATTTTTGAGGTGGGAGATAATCTCTTTCCAGTATCCCCTTAATGTTTGGTTCTTTAAACTTTACCCATCTGAACCTCATGGATATTTTAAAACAACTCCCATTCCCAATTTCAAGTTTACTAACCCTTATAAGTGGTTTAACTTGCCAGGTTTTACCTTTTATATTAAACTATCACATTTAATGGTGTACCACCAATGAATAAGCTAGTTTAAATTCAACCCAAATATTTTAATGCACCCAGTGAAGCAATTTAGAAAGGATACTAAATACAGGGAAAAAAAAAATCTAATGAAATATTCGAGCAAGGATGGAAATTAATAAAAAACAAAGCAATTATAAGTTAATGTTCCTATGGAGACTGAGTTATCTCATTGATTTCGCGAACTGGTTTTTGTTTTGTGTCTCCATCATGATAAAATATGAGTATAGTTTGATAAGTTTATTCATATTAAGTAAGTAATGCTTTTAATCAACACATGCTATTAAATAGATTTACTTTATGGTGCTCTTCTATTTGTCCTGCATGAGCCTTGATATGTACAAAGGGGATGTTTTCTTTTTAAAAATAAAACTACATGTGACAACGTAAAGAAATTTTTCTTAACCTTATCACATGACTGTTTAGTGGTGAAACTTATTGTTTTGCTCTGTTTGCTTAATTATATTATTATCCGTTTTTGAAAAAAAATTCATCACTCCCTTTTAACATCTTAAATCAAAAATTTTAAAAGTATTGCATTTGTATAATGATTTAGAGGGATGTTTGTTTGCATGTTTCTGAAATAGAATGGAATATCTGAAATCAAAGTGTCATGAAAAATTATGAAATATTTGACCACTGTATGGAAGAAAAAGGCTATTTTGCAAAATTTAAAGTTGATTCAACACATAATTTAAAACACATGTTGTAAAAGTTTCACAGTATAACAATTGTTATTGAATTTAAGGTTGTATTATGTTATATTATAACCGATTATTTTCATATTTAAATAGTGTACTCAGGTAAATGATTTTAATATGAACATTTAATAAGTAATTAAAAAATAAATTCAGTGTTAATTATCTTATCTTCCTAAATAATTTTAATTAATTTCCTCATTTGGCAGGAAAGATCCAAATAAATAAATAAAGAGAAACTGAAACATTTTGTATAGTTACCTTAAATCACCAGAGTTAAAAGTAGAAATTAACACTTAGATATATGAGGATACTTCCAAAAAAGCTCATGAAAAGATTCATATTGTCTTTTAATTCTATTTTTCCACAAACTTTTTGAAGTGCCTTCGAATGTGTCTAGGATGAAAATATTATGTGATTGTAGGATATGATTGTTGACTCAGGTCCATGCTATTGTTTTTCAGCTGAGCAATGCCTGTCAACTAGAAGCAAATAATGGGCTGTCCTGTGTTAACACTTATTTCAAATCTAGTAGTTTGTTTATTTAACATATGTCTGCTATTTTAATTAGCAACTCTTGGTACATCAAAAGAGCTTTATTGAAAGTGGAAGAAAAGAATGATGTTTGATCCATTCTTTACAAAATTTTCTATTAATAATGTTTCCTTTATATGATATGAATACTAATTAGGTCATCCAAATAAATATAGCACTTTGTTAAAAGATAGGGACTTCAATATAAGCATAATGTATGACCATGAAGAGTTAATGAGTGGATATGATTTGTTTAGGTATATATTATATACATAATGCATGTATAAAGTATAAATAAAATTTTGTGAATGCCGGATACAGTTCTAGACTTTGGAATATACCAAGAACAAAATAATTGTGATAAATAAATTGTAAAGTATGTTAGATGTTGATTGAGTCTATAACAAAAATGAAGGAAGGAAGGAAAGAAGGAAGGAAGGAAGGAAGGAGGGAAGGAAGGAAGGAAGGAAGGAAGGAAGGAAGGAAGGAAGGAAGGAAGGAAGGAAGGAAAAAAACGGAGGAAAGAAAGAGAGAAAGAGAAAGAGGAGAAAGATCCATCAGGAGTCAGTTGCTTGGGAAAGATTCAGTATTAAATAGGGGTAGACTTCACTGAGAAGATGAGATTTGAGGAAAGACATAAGGATGAATGGGCAGGCCAAGCTGATTTATCATGTGGAATTTTATTAGAATAGTTATAGGAGAAATTATTTATTTCAAAATTTAATATAACAAAAATTAGCAATACAAAATATACTGTCACAAATCCAGACCTAAAAATTTGTTTTTTAAAAAATCTGCTATAAGCTTATGATAAGAAATGCCATGTGACTATTTTTACAAAATAAAAATAAGACAGAGGTGAGTCCAAGTGTCATTTTAGTTTAAACTTTATTTGATTTTTGTATCGATCGCACTGCATTGGGAGTAATATGATCATGTCTAATGGAAGGATATACTTCATATTTAAATATTATACATGATTTTGTGACTATCATCATATTCAATGGAAAAGGACACAAGTAAAAATATGGAATTATGAAATAATCAATAATCAATTTAAAGAGCTTTCAAATTTAGTAACAGATACTAACAATAATTTCATGTTATTTGCATTTTAATATGCTCTATTTCTTGGTGTTTTAGTATTTCTCTTTTACATTTCTCAGTGCCCTACCTCTTTAATTCTACTTTTTTAATCCCTCTAATAAGTGCATTAACTCAGCGATACTTTCATTGAGTTGGTGATATATGACATCTATTTCTTGGAGGAGGTGCTAACTTATTTTGTACTAAGTCCCGAACACTGTACTTGTTACCAAGGATAAAAACTTCAGTAAGACAATAAGTTTCAAATAAATTCATTGTTTGGTGTGAGATCAAACATGAAACAAATAGATACAATGTATTATAAGGGCAAAAATAGTATCTAACAGTTAATGAGCACTATTAATAAGGGCCATGTTAAGAACTCTATACATGTATCTCTATCTTCAATCCTATTATATAGGTACTATGATACTAATTCCATCTTAAAAATGGTGAAATTAAATATACACATTGATTAAATAACGTGCCTGTATCACATGAATAGACTTTGGATTTAAGCCTCGGCCTCCGGACCACATAGATTGCTGTTTTAATTTTATCTTCTTGCTTGTTCAGAGGTAAGAGTGACAGAATAATTCAACCTGGAGATGTGTCTGGAAAGGTGTCAGAGCGAGTATTTGCTAGGCAAAGAAGACAGGAAGGGTTTTTAGCATAGAGAAATGCCTTGTGAAAAGACAGTAAGAATCACAACTGTGTACAGTGGAAGGAATCAGGAATTGCAAGTGGTATTTCTGTTTGGCTGGATGTGAGAAACACAGTGAGAGTAGTGAGACACGCCAGTAGAGAGAGAGATGGTACTCAATTCACGGAGGACTTTTGTCCCTTGCTAAGGGTTTACTCCTTTAGTACAGGGATGACAAATAAGTCTCTTACTGTAAATCAACACTGATTTATAGGCATCGTCATGTATTTTCAAGCTATTTATTGCTTTTAGAGTAGTGTGGAGGATTAATTGGAAAGAAAAGATAGGATCTGAGAAAATTTTTAACAGGCTATATAATAATTTAGAGAAAAAATTCTGAATAGAGTTGGAATAGAAAGAAGAGGAAGTAATGAGGAATATTTAGGTATTAGAATTACCAGAACTTGGCAATTTTATTAGGTATGAGAAGTGATATGAAGGATAAAGGAGAAATGGAAATTGCATCCCAACTTTCTAACTGAGCTTGTGCATGGATGGTGCTTCCATTAATTGGGATTAGAGAACAAAGAAGAAAAATATACTCAGGGGTGGAGGTGAGAAAGGGAGTTATGTTCCGTTTTGTATATCTTGATATATGTAAGTGGGACTTTTGTGAACAGCTAGAAATACATACTGTGGTTCAATAGAGAGTTCAGTTCTGGATCTGCAAGTCATTTACCCTTGCTTGGGTAGTAAGCAAAGTGGAGATGAATGATGTTATCCAGGAATGATCCCATTGCCGAAAGAAAATTGTCACGATCAAGTCTGGAAACTACTAATGTTTAAAAGGCAATCTTGATAAAGTAGCAGTGAAGGAAGGTTAGAAGAGATAGTCAGAAAGGTAGGAAGAAACAAGGGTGAAGTGGAAATACAGAAGCCGTGAAATGATATACTCCACATATCCTGTAAAATTCATACTCTAAAAATATCTCTTTGGAATAAGTGAGATAAGCAGAGTTGTGTCCCTCATGACTATAATTTTGATGCATAGATTACAGCATTGCTTTTACTAAAGTGTACCTTGATATGATGCTATCAGATTGGATTGAAGGATGTTATAAAGACCAATGAGACATTTCATTGTGTTTATGATAAATGTGATTCTTCCTTTCTTCCTTCCTTCTTGCCTTCCTTTCTTTCTTTCTTTTTCTTTCTTCCTTCCTTTCTTTCTTTCCTCCCTCATGTAAAACATAATGTGAATCAACTTAAAGTATAGGTTTCCTTTTTTGCATTGACTACCTGATCCCTTCTACCATAGGAGCTTACTGTGCATGCTTTGTGAATTGACTTCGCCTCTGACTCTACCCTTCCAATCCTGCCAATAGGCTTATTCCGTTATCTCAAATTTGATTCTTTCTAAAGTTGTATGATTTTTGTAAATTATTATAATTATTTGCTGAAACAAGAAAGAATAGACAACAAAAAACTTATGTGTTACTTTTAAAGGTTTTTGTACAGTAATGTTGATCTAGTTGCAGACTTCATTCATTAAATATTTGCTGTATTGGGTCAATGGTAGGTTGAGTCAATTGTTACTCCAGAACTCAGCTTTTCTCCATTAATTCAAATAACCTTAGTAGTTTCTTTTGGTGGCCGACTTTGATTGAGTCCCCATCTCTGTCTTCTGCAGTGACAAGGACAGTGTGTGCAGAACAGTGTGATGGCAGGTGCTACGGACCCTACGTCAGTGACTGCTGTCATCGAGAATGTGCTGGAGGCTGTTCAGGACCTAAGGACACGGACTGCTTTGTATGTCTGGGAGTTTTCCCTTTTCCTCTCCTCTTCTCATTTCTCACCCTCTTTGACTCAGACACATTGAATCTTTAACATCTTATTACAATAAGATTGAGTCTAGCCATTTTGGGATTAAAGAAATGCCCTGCCTTCCTAGAAGTCATCCCCCCACTGAGAGGTCTATTGATTAACCAGAATTATTCCATTCTACTAAATGAATTGTGTCTTTTTGATGTAGTTTATAATACAAATGAGATTTATTGGGGAACATGAAGGAGAACTTATTGGGATATCTTTTTAGAATCTAATAGCATCTTCACAAAAATGCAGTGATTATTTGTTTATGTTGTTGCATCATTGAATTCTGTGAGTGAGAGCAATTGCATTTTATTTCTTGAATATAAATTTCAAAATTATACCAGATAAACTTAAGTATTTTCCAGTTTATATTGTTTACAATCTAATATTCAAAAATGCACATTTAAAGCAATTTATGTGCTAATCTGTATGATTTTTATTTTAGAAGAGGACACTTTTACTTCCTTAAAATTAGCATTCATAGCTTGTTCGGGTCACTTTATAGTTACATTTTGATGTCATATCCTGATACACTTCTTTTTGTTCTTTAAAATACATACAAGCAATTCTGTGAACTATAGTTAACTAAATCTAATATGCACAGTACACTAATTTCATTTTAAGTTAAAAATTATAAAAATAAGAAACTTTTTATTGGTAAAAATGAACACAGAAACTTATTTTCTTTTTTCTCCTTCTCAAATATTCAGCAAATAAACACATATAGTAGAATTGAACATTTTTTCAAATTGACCCAATTCCAGGAAAAAGTAAAATATAAATTAAAGCTCTTATGGTATAGATAGTAATTTCTTAATTTTCTTCATATCATAAGAAGCTTAAATTGTCTACCCTAATTCTATAGTGAAACAAAAATATGTGTTGCAGAAGTGGATAGAGGTGAGAAAGCAAAGGTAATTAAAATGTTAAAAATTTAAGGAAGATACTCAGCAAATCTTGAACTGAGAACTTTTCCCTTATCTATCGCCAGACATCGGATGTAAGGTAGGTTTTAGAGACACTGAACATGGCTGGTGTTGCATTAACAGTTTCAAAACAATAACAACAATAAACAACAATAGCCAAAACTCTCACTTAGAAGTTTTGTGCTGTATTTTTCTCATGGTTCCATTATCATGATATGTAGAGAGCTGAGTGAGCTTCAGAATTATCATTTCATTACTTTTATGGAATGGTCCAGTGATTCCACTTAGGCATCTGGTACAGAATGTTTAAGAGTACTAGAATGATGCCGTGGTGTAAGTTACATTGCTTTGTATGCTCTCTGAAAGGTAAATTTGTTTTATTCCTCTGGCTTGTGTTCCTTTGTTCCCAAGCAATCTGTGCACAACATTGCATAAAGTGTGTTAGTAAAGCAATTATAAGGACATGTGAAGTTTTATAGCCATAAATTAAAACTTACTGAGTTTTCTAGATTAGTTTTTAATAGATTCTTCCTAGAATGTGTCATCTTAGTGAATAATGTATCATCAGTTAGTCTCATTCTGATTATGCATCTAGTAGACCATCATCAGGGAATTGTCATGTTTGTGATAAAGTGCTTGCTAAAATAACAATTGATGAAGCAAGTGTTTAGAGGAAACAGAATAAGGTAATGCTTATTAATAACCATACGTGCAATTTATGATGGAATGTAAAACACAGCTTTAATTCACATTAGCTTGCCTTCCAAGACATACATTACTCCTACGAGGGCTTAATTTCTTAATTAAAAGAATTAGCTCATCCACTCTTTTGTTAATCACATATTTGTATGTACTTATACATATGAGGGGTCTTCAAAAAGTTCATGGAAAAATTCGTACTATCTTTTAATTCTATTTTTCCATGAACTTTTTGAAGTACCCTTGTATGTTCTCTTTTTATATCAAATGCCTAACTCTCAGGTGATAAAAAGGTTTTAAGTTCTTCTCAAATGAATTTTAAAATATTAATAAATTGAGTTCTCAGTACAAATATATAAATCAGCAGAAATGAACTGTCTTACTTGAATGTGGTGGCTTTTACTAAATGATGTGGCTTTATGAAAAAGGCCATACAAGAAATGGCATCATATTATTTAATTACAGGCTAACTGTAGCTAGCTACCTCTTTACATTTTGACATTATACACACTAAATTTACACTTGGCTAATTACCTACCAGACCCTTTTTTAAAAGTCCGATTGAAATGGCCATTGCAATGTTTCCTAATCATACAGTGGTGATGATTGTGCTTAACATATCACTTAAGGCACTGACCTCTCCAAATACCAACTCCATGGAAAATCTAGCCTGTAGAACTGGTAATTTATTTGTCAGTGCCAGATGCTAAGACTAAACATAAATGCTTTAAATAAGTGTAAGCTTAAATAACTCTTCACTATTAGCTACCTTTAATAATTTAAACTAATTCTCAGTTAAGAAATCAGTAGATAAATAATAAGCAGTATGGACATTAGTAACCACAAATGATTATTTACTGACATTGCAAAAGAAAGTTGTGTAAAATTTTAGAAACAAAATGACTGTAAAATTTTAAATTTTGCATTATTTATGAAATTGATGTATGCTAAATAAAGAACACAATTTACTCACAGAACTGTTGTGGCAGTATTTCATTATCAAGTATTATGAAGGTTCTTTATGGATAAAATAATATTTGCTATGTCACAGGCCTGCATGAATTTCAATGACAGTGGAGCATGTGTTACTCAGTGTCCCCAAACCTTTGTCTACAATCCAACCACCTTTCAACTGGAGCACAACTTTAATGCAAAGTACACGTATGGAGCTTTCTGTGTCAAGAAATGCCCACGTAAGTAACAGAATAAGAACAGCCAAATTAATTAGATCATCATTTGAAAATGAAGGAATTTCATGTAAGTTCATTTTACTTTGAAACTTGTAACTATATCATAAATTACTTTGGGTGTGGGTCCTATCACTCTCATTTCATAAATAAGAAAATTAAAGCTCGAAAATTAAAGTGATTGGTCTAAAGTTTTATACCAAAGAGTAACATATTTGATGTTAGAGTGGAAATGCTGTTGATTCCTAAACTCTCTTTATTTTCACTATTCCTCAATTTTTTTGTACATCATGCTGTTTCTCAGAAAAATGATCAGCTAAGTGGCAGCAAGTTAAGGTACGAATAGGGCCTGTTTCTCATGAGAATGAATTTTTTCCTAGAGTTATTACTGATTATTTATTTATACTAGAATATATAGCATTGTAATTTTAATATCAAATCTAAAAATTAAAGAAAAAAAACAGATATACAGGTTATGTTAAAGGCTCCTTAGCAAACTGATAAGTCATCCTGGGGATTCAAAATGACCAGCTTAACTTTCACCAGTTTTCAGTATATCTGCCTTGATATTTGCTTGAGTCAATTTCTTTGCTTTGAGTGACCAGTGAGACATTTACTCAATGTTTTACCTATTGGAAAGGCTGAAAAAAAGTCACTGCATTTATCCACAAACTCATCTAAAAGAAGACTCTTCGATCTATACCATACAGATATTGTGGCTTTCTTCACTTGGTTTGTGTGAGATGACAGGAAGTATAAGGGACATGGGATTAAAGTGGCTATGAATTTTGACTTTGCCCACTTATTAGTCATGTGATTTTCAATAAATCATTTAGTTCACTATTTCCTTCCCTTTAAGATGTGGATGGTAATTATCTTTCTTTTCTCTCACTTCTCTAGAGGCATTATAAGCATCAAAGAGATAGAGTATAAGGATCAGAGCAATAGCATGTAAAAAGAGTCTTTAAAAACACAATTGTAGTCATTATTCTTAAACACTTTTATATTGATTAAAAGAATAATTGTGCTTAGCCTTCTTTATTTATACATATTTAACATGCCTCTGAATTAGTATTTTAAAGTCACAGACACACTAACTCTAGGACAATAGAGATTTACCATCTTAAATACTTGAAAATTTAAACCAATGCTTTTGATCTAGTAAACCTGGTATCTAGAATCCCCCTATATGTCACTATCTACCATCTGTGGAAAATTGGGGGCTTAAAAGTATTGTGGGATAGGAGTAGATGATTATATTTTTCCTTTTCTAAGACAAATGTTCTCTTATACTACTATCTTCAAATTATAGTGCTTTCCCCTATGACAGTCAAAATTATGCTTTTTTTGAGGTTTTTGGTGCTTTCCCTTTTACTCAAGTCCTGAGGTTGAAGGCTAGGGGTTGAGCTATAGTGTAAGCAGTACCGGGAAAATCTGAACTAGGAAATTCCCCTTTACTTTACTGTATTCTGTATAGCGGCTCATCTGAAGGCTCTCAACTCCAGGCTGTGGCTAAACAGGGAGAACTATCTTGTGAAATTACATGCCTGATTTACATTAGATGTGGTAACTCACAAACATCCTTTCTTGGATTAGTTTATGTATATCAAACTACAAACTAATTTAAGACACTTCATTGTTTGTCTACTGTAAAATGCAAGTCTCTGGTAGGCCTTGTTCATAAGGCTTGGTTTGCCAAACTGGAGCTGTCCTGAGAAAACAAGGACATTTAGCTTCTGAATATAGGCCCCTAATCCAAAATTCTGAAATCCATAAACTCCAAACAATCTGAAACTCATTTGGCTTCAGGACCTGAACCTAATTGATTATAGGATGAATTATAATCTTTACTTATTACACTCAACGTAAATTACCGCAGAAATATGAAAGTGTTTAATTGTAGAGTATTGTCCAAGACCTTGCAGAAAGGGTGCTTACTTAATATATAGCATGAGGGTACTTCAAAAAATTCATAGAAAGATTTGTATTTTCTTTTAATTCTGTTTTTCCACAAACACTTTGAAGTTCCCTCGTATACGACCTGTTGCAGGTTGAATTCCCCTGAGAAAGAGGGTAAGTTACTAGGGAGTATTCTCAAAAGCAACACCTGTGGGGGAAGGGAAGGAAGCAGGATTGGTCTTCGATGCCATCTCAGCAAGCTTCCTCTTTTGTGGTGGATGTTAGCTTGGAATACAAAAATCTTCGCACTCTGTGCCCAGTCCCATGGATTCATACATATTCCTGTCCCCTGAACTCCCTTTTTCCCCAGATTTTCTATTATTTTTTCTCCTGGGGCAAGCCACTGCTTGGGAATCCATATATATATTCAGGACTCAGGCCACTTCTCTTTCCACACAATGTGTGTTGTCAGTTGCAGTATCCAGAACTATGCCCTTTGGTAAAATTTTCTCTTTCCTATTTCTTTTAAGCCACTTCTGAGTGAGGCTGTAGGGACACCGTCATCCATTTTCAGCTTGCACTCACGTATCAAGCTTAGTTTTTGTCCTCGTTTGTCAGCTTGTCCTAAGTGTCCTCTCTTGGTCCCTGTGCAGCCATAGGTATGAGCTGGGTGAGAGGTGTCAGCAAAATGGTGGATAACATGGAGATCTGAGCCACCTGCTTATGTGGTTTACTTGTGCCTCTGCCCCTGCTCACCTTCAATCCTAACGTACTGCTTCAGTGTTACATTGGATTGCTGCTGGGCCTGCCCAACATTACAATATCATCGTCTGACAAAACCTTGTTCATGATGTGCAATTCTGGCTACGGGGTTAATCAATAACCCATGGCTAGGTGCTCCTTCTCTATCAGCACTCAGAAGCGTGTCAGGAGCTGATTGGTAAATGGTCTACAATCCTATACTACAGATAGCGTGGCATAGCTCTAGCAACCTAGAGGTCTCCTATGATTTTCTAGTTGGGACATGTCACAACTCCAGATAGCATATTGCCCCATCATAGATACTTTCAGTATCACAGAGTCTCTTATGTTTCATAGCATAAAGTAGTAGAATTGCTTGCACCACAGCCTGGACCTGCACTGTATGCCTTTCTTGCTCTGGGCACCCTTCAAATCTGAAAGCTTTCTGTACCATTGCATACTGGGCCAAAGCAGTATTTCCAGGCACGGAAAGATGCTGCCTTCAAAACCAGAGTGGCCTAGCAAGTATTGTGTTTTCCCTTAATTGTGGGAGGCTCTAGATGCAGTAGTTTTTCCTTTATTTTTGAGGGGATATTCTGGCATATCCCAGATTACTGGACTCCTGAGCATTTCACCCAAGTGTTAGTAGTAAGATGTTCCTTGTTTATTCAGTATATCTTTCCAAAAGTTCTACCCTTTCAAATTTTATTTTGTTTCTTCATATAAAAATAAAAGAAAGTTTCTGTGCCACTCCACTGAAAATGGAATTTATTAAAGCTTCATTTGTGTTTCATGAACTTGGAATATTTTTAGACGTCAAATTTACAGCATGACATGAAATGAAGTAGAACTATCGGAAAACACAAACTAAATGTTATGATGTTTCGTAACTCTATAAAAGAAATCCACTCTATCTTGGGAGCAATTCAGGGTGTGGAGCAGTAGCCAAGCAAGTATTAGTTGTTGACATGTACTGCCCCTGGATTTGAATGTGGATGGTCAGAGATCATCCACTATTTCGGGCTGAGATATGTAAATGAAGTTGTTTTAGGGGATGACACATATATGTTATTAATTATGCTAATCATTTTTAAACTCTAAAATATCTTGTTTCAGACCTCTTTCTTGAACACTAACATTATTGCCTATTTTACTTTCTTATAAATCAGATAACTTCGTGGTAGATTCCAGTTCTTGTGTGCGTGCCTGCCCTAGTTCCAAGATGGAAGTAGAAGAAAATGGGATTAAAATGTGTAAACCTTGCACTGATATTTGCCCAAAAGGTGAGTGATAGCTTAGACTATTTTGGTTAGAACAGTGGCCTATATCAAGGTTTTTCATTAATTTTATAATAGGCCAATGAATTCAGCCTTCTAGAACACACCCACTCCTACAAAAAAAATCCTTCCCACACACACTTTCTGTGACTTTGGTCAGTTTCCAAAGTATCAACTGTCATAACAGTGTATATTATTTATTTCAAATTATATCTACTAAAAAGGTGCAGATAAAATTCAGAGTTAACATTGATAGGAACGCAGAAATAAAGTTACATTTTATTCTATCAGTAGCAAATCTCAGAAGTTCTGCACAAAACAAGGGTTCACATGGTTATTTAAGCCTCATAACACATATTAGTTGCTTGGCATTGTATACAAAATAATCTGTTAGCCATAAAAGGGAACACAAAGGAACATGCAATATGACATTTACTCTCCATGCTGTAAAAAATATTTTGAAAGATAAGATATATAAAATGGCAAGGAAGTTTACCATAAATATTAAATAAATTTTGCAGATAATTCATGCTATAGAATTTTAGTGGACAGAGAAATCCCTTCCAGCTGTGGGTGCTCAGATTTCTTACCAGAATGACACTTAAATAGGACAAAAGTAGAGTCCAAATCTCCTGAACATCATTAAGCTTTTCAAAGTATGAAGGAGTGCCTTAGAAATGTGCAAATGTCAGACTTCCTTTTAGACTACATTCTCTCTGTCTCTCTTTCCTACACACACACACCCCCACACACACGTTTTTTGTTTTGTTTTGTTTTTTTATGTAGAGCCTCCAGAAAGCATACATAATATTCAATTTAGGTGTAAATATTTAAATGGCTCTTGCCTTTGGTTTCATTCCACATTACTACTCTTTAATATATATTCCCCATTACACCAGTGTTTTTAAAATTGCAGGTTGTAGACCATTAGTAAGCCATGAAGTTATTTTACCAAAGTGACCAGCACTTCAAATGTATTAAAAATAATATTTTAGAGTGATTTAGAAAATAGGTAATTCTATGTATTAAGGGGAAATATTCATTGATGAAGGTTTTGTTTCAGTTACATATGGTTTGTATTAGAGTACTGGATCTTGATACAAAATATAATTCTTACAATGAGTCATTGTCACTAGACTATAATGCAGGGACAATATTTTAATGCAATAAATGTTGAATTAATGAATAATTGTATTATTTTTTGGAAAAAGTTGTCTTTTATAATGTTTTTTTTTATTTTATAATGAAGACATAGTGCTATTTTTAATGAAAATGCAATGATTTATAAGTTTCTCAACCCCGCAGCTGTGAATCTTGTTTCTACAGCTTGTGATGGCATTGGCACAGGATCTTTGATGTCAGCTCAGACTGTGGATTCCAGTAACATTGACAAATTTATTAACTGCACCAAGATCAATGGGAATTTGATCTTCCTTGTCACGGGTATTCACGGGTCAGTATTAAATTTTTGTACAAAATTATTTTACAGAGTGTAGACAAAACTGAGATTATTTAGCTTTGTCTGTTCGATTCCTCTTGACCTAGAAAAGTTTTACTTTCATTAATGCTCTTCACCAAAAAAGCAAGAGCCAGATTTAACCAGCAGTGATAGTAAAGTAGAGTTTTGAGATGCACCCACATTTTGAGTTTGGTGACTACTTAGATCTGAAAATATAAATTTGTATGTAAGTGAAGATGTATTTGCAGTGCATTCTTCTCAAATTCATAGTTTCAGCAAACTCGACTTACATTTAGATATGTTCAGGGAAACAAAATTAATGGGTGAGGTGGGAAGTTTCATTCAGTTTGCTGACTGATTAGGTAAAGACAAATAGATTAATATTCCTTAAAAAAAATCTCACATGAAACAAGTCAGTATGTTTTAATTATTCTGAGCTGCATTCAGAAATTCTCTTTGTCTGCAGCATTCTTTTTCTCTTTGTTTAGTAAGTTGGAAAGTTAGCACTACTGTAAGAGATCTATTACATGAATTTTATTTTGGTAATAAAATTGTAACATTATCTGAGCTCCTTCATTACAGAACCACCTGCTGGTTTTAACTGGGAAAACAACCAAATTTGCATTCGTTAAATTGTAATAAAAATGTCAATATTTTTACTTTATATTTTATCTATTTGTCTATATTACTACTTAATCCCTAAATATTAGTGCTACAGGCTACAGATAAAGAATATCACTCGCATATTTCAATTCAAAATCTTGCTCTGAATATATATCACATAATTTCTAGAAGCAAAATAATTTAACACATTATGAATAAATATGTCCAAACAGGAACAGCTAAAGAAATAGAACAAAGTGTTCTTTCCATTTGAATAAATTATTGTATATATTATTGCATGAGATATCTCTTTACCTTAAAATGTAGGTTTTAATATGGTCCCATGTCAGACCCTGTAATAGTATGTATGTACTCTCTGTCCCAGATTTGTTGTGTTTGGCCCAAGAAATATTTTTTTTTTAAATTAAGACTAAGATTCCTAACTTCTCTTTAAAAATATGTAGTCTTGGTAATTCTCAACCCACATGTCTACATGGCAACAATCTTTTGGAGCTCGGTAGCACTGACCATGTTGAGAAAGGACACACTTTATCTACTTTCCATAGTCCTGCTTGCCCTCCAAATCCATTTATATTGTTGCTTTAGCATCCATGGCCCATTCGGTAGGAGGCCTGGGTCGATACATAGTTGCAACTTTATAATTTAATGCATATATGACATTTGGTAAAGCAATATAGCCACATTTAACTATTTTTAAAACCAAGTATCACCAGGAATGAAAGGTCATATCATGTTACTAATATCTTCTGACCACTTGACTCACATTGCCTGCTTCCACATGGAAATAATAAATGAATTATCCTCAAGCCCATCAGTGTGGGGAATTATTTGAAATCATGTTCTCATGAATTGCATTACATAGGTGATTTTTATACCTATCAGGCCTAAAATTTCTCTTTTATGTATTAAGCATTCAATACTTTCGTTTCAGTTTTGACAAAATTTTTAAATAATATAGCCTACCTATATGTGTAATTTAAATATATATGTGTGTGTGTGTGTGTATACATATATATATATATATATATATATATATGTAATTCTCCAGTTGTAACTTAAAGAAAAAAAGAGGAAAGTAATGCATAATAAAATATGTATTGATGGGAGTCTGCTCAGCTTTCACTTATAACGTAAGTTTGGATTTATGAGAAATAAGATTAGAAGTCATTCTGTGTAAGAAGTGCAGGGAAATAAAGAGCAGAGGAAGGGCTGACCCCTGGAATGGAAAATAACTAAGTAGACATATTTCTACATAACACAAGGAAAAGAGAAAGCACTTTCATTTAATTTGGGGCAACATGACTAGGGAATTGCACACGGTCAAATTATGACTAAGCATGAAATTGACATATATGAGGTTCTCATGTCTAGGACATTTTAAGGTTTTACAAGACGTGAAACAATCCTTTGCTGTAAGAGACATTTAACAGCCTTGGCATGGGGTTGTTACTAAAAACCTGTCATACCTCCCAATCTATATTACAACTGAAACACCTCTACAAAGGTCCCAACTTCCCTTTAGTGGAATGCTACCATCCCAATTGAGAACCATTAAAAAATTTTGTGATGGTGAAAGGATTACAAATGAACAAAATTGATCTGTTCGAATTCCTACAGGTAAAACTTGGGTGAGAAGGTTTGAAAAAGTCTCGACCTAGTGAAGTTCAGATTCAGTTATTTTAGTCCTGGTTCATTATTGAACACACTTATTGAATGCTGGATTTATACTGATTATAAAATGATTTGACATATCCTCATTCATGTATGGCCTAGATTATGGGAAAGTTTAATAAACACAAAAAATGGAAAAACATATTTCAAGGGACAAAAATATAGTGCACAGTAGGGGACCATGCATTCACAAGTTTATGGAAAGAATATTACAAAACTTTAGACTAACTCAGACTTTTAAAGGAGACTGTTGCTGATTCAACCAGGTGAAAAATGACTCACAGAAAGTCAATTCACATGGATTAGAGGTAGAAAGGTAAACCAAGCTTGTCTTAAAAATAAGCTCAGAAAATAAAAGTTAGACTCTCTATGTGGGTAACTCGATCCAGACTAGACTGGAGTCTGATTTGCAGCTCCACTGTGGACAGCCGGCATCGAGTTGGGTGGCTTCTTTTTCATGCCAAACTCTCAGTTTCCTCCAGTGGAAAATTAAGAAGTGTATTTATAATAAATACCTATTACTTTGGTGGTTGTGATGATTAAAAAAATATATTTTTAATAATTCAGCTCAGTGTCTGACATATTGTAAAACATGAATAAATGGTATAAAAGAAAAAGGAGGATTAAGGGAGAGAGGGAAAAAGAGCGCAGAACAGAGAGAGTGAGAAAGAGAGAATGAAAAAAAAAGAAAGAGAGAATGAAAAGCAATAGAAAACAAAGCAGCAGAAGAAGGCAGTCTGAAAGAAAAATCTCAGTGACTATGCCTAGTTTATAATACAACATATTGTGCAAAAAATGTTATTTTAAAGTTTTGACTATAGTCTTTTATAGACCGTTTTGGAAACCAAACAGAGGCAAATTTTCTTTTAAGACAAATCATGCTTGTTAGTTCAGATGTTTATTTGGCCTTAATCATGGCACTTAAACCTGGAATATTTGAAGTTATAATTAATAGCATTGTGTCACAAGCATAACATATAAGGGATTTTCCAGGACAAATATGTGTGTGAAGTATGATATATTCCTCATTCCCATTCTTATGCCAGTATGAAACATATATTCTGAAGCCTTTCCCTTTCATCTTAGGAAAATGTGAATATAAAGTTAATTCAGTTAACTTAAGGCATCTTATATAGACATCGTATATACATACAGGTATGTTCATATACGTAGTGTGGGTGTGTTTGTGCATGAAGACAGAGAGAGAAAATAGAAATTTTAAAGGTGAATCATATGAGGTATTGTAAACAGAAAATACATAGTAAATCAAAGAAATGTTTTACCTTACTTAATTTCCATTACCCTCAATGTTTTGCTAACTAGTTTTTAATAGCATTGTGTGGTTTGATTAAAATAGCTGAGATATTTCTTTAAACTAATAAAAAGGCAAAATAATAATTAAATGAGATTATCCTGTTTAAAAACAAGCTTCTGCAGAAAATAAATTTACTTGCAATCTGTCAATTAAAATTGTAATATATAAAAGGGCTCTAGAAAGTTAATTAACCTGTTTCATTTATAGAACAATAGTGCCATTTCCAGAAATAGAGAGAGGCACTCATTTCCATTTTAAAATAGGAACCACAGGCAAAGCTTAATGTTTAGAGTTATTGACAGGAATATTCCTTTTTCATGTTTTGTCATGTTTGACTGTTCATGTGCATGTGCTTAGAGTAACAAAATGTTCACCAAATAAGCTGTGACACAAGAAGACACTGGCAAGAAAAGGTTTACATGATAGACTGCAATGATAATAGATAATAGAAGAGAGATGATAGGTTTGGTGACAAAATAAAGTGATTTCAGTGGAATTGTGAAAATATGTTTCTTTCTTTATCCTGGAACTTTATTTTGGATCACCAGACACAATGACAGGGTAGACATAATATTCTTTTGCATGGCTCTGAATTTAGGTAGGAAAGTTACAGATTTTAAAGTACTATGGATTTCAAGTTGCTGGAGGATGAAACTCCCAAGAGGTACTTTGAAGTCAGTAAGTGGAATTCTGTCCACTTATTTTATGAGAGTCCTGAATCTCTAAAATTAGTTATATAAAATTTCTGTGGTCCATTGAGCTTCATGCTAACAGTCCAGAATTCATTTCATTCCTGGAAACCTGGACGTGTTCTTAGTAAAGGTTTGGACTGACCTCATCATTGTGTGCTTGCTCTGAATTTTGAGTCTTTCTCAATCAAGCCAGGATATTTGATTATGTGACTCGGGTTGTTCTAGACACTGCTTTTCATCAAAGAACAAATGTTGAAAGCTCATTCTCCTACTGCAGAGCTGGTATTTCCTCTGCATGAAAAAGTCTTTGCACAGTAAAGACTGAGGACAAGTTTTCCCACTTGGTACACATAATTTCTGGCTTCATATTCAACAAAAGCCTCATTCTCCTACTGCAGAGCTGGTATTTCCTCTGCATGAAAAAGTCTTTGCACAGTAAAGAGTGAGGACAAGTTTTCCCACTTGGTACACATAATTTTTGGCTTCATATTCAACAAAAGTATAGTTATTTGTTCCATATGTCTTTACTTATAAATAGAGCATTTTTGCAGGAATATTTAATTTAGACATTAAGCTTTTGAGAGATAGTCGTGTGACATGGAGCAAATTTTAATCCACAGTTTATGTGTGAATTATAAAGCCAACATAGGGTGGTTCCAGAGGTCAGGGTTGCTGAAAGTGATAGTTTCTTCAAGGGTCAGATGCTGGGATAAATAAATGCAAACAGATTCAGACTCAAATTCCCAGGAGAAAGGCCATATGCCTAACTGTTTTTTAGGGGATTGTGTAGTACCTTGATTGATAGCCCTGTTAAAACTGTATCTAAAGGATCACTGTATCCTAGAGGTTATTACTCATGCAAAAATAAGGTTCCCATAGACTGGTAGATACAGCAGATGTCCCCAGCAAGGACAAAACTCATTTGATTGCTACAAATAGAAACATACTTCTAAGAAAGCCTAAATTCATTCTTCTGAAAAGGTTTGATCTCTCTTGTAGATGTGGCCAATGAATAGATTTTAATCTTTCTGTAAAGGATAGATATTAATATGAGGTCTCTACTCACCCAGGATAGCACAAAATGTCTTTTAATGCAATAGAACTAAAAAAAAAAAAAAAATACAATGTATTCCTTAAAAAAGATGAAAGTATTGCTTGAATTACCAAGACAAGTTTGGTATTACATTTATGTTTGGCTTAATATTCAAGCATGGAATTATTTTGTCTGGTCTGTATGTTTTACCTGAAAAATATTTTCCTAAGATGAAAATTTCTGAAAAACAATATCTTAAATATTTAATTTTCAAAGATATTTTATGTTCATTTTCTAAAAAAACCCAGACATCTATATATCAGTACCATTTATTACAAAAATATGTTTATGCATTAGGAGATGGTACTTTTAAAATCCTTGAGATTATACCTTTTGTGTATCATGAAATTTGTTGTACATTTTGTTTGCAAATGTTAGTATAAACTTATATAGATGGAAGCAATAGTTCCTTTGTTACAAAAGTTCAATACACCAGATAGAAACAAGATGGTTCTAAATAATCCGTATGAAGATCAACTTACAAACAATATTATGAATATTATGTCAAATCACAAATAGATAAATGTAGAGCTACAGAAAAAAAAAAGTTTGACTTCACCTGTGCTTGTTTCTATCCTTATGAGTAACAGGTGTTATTAGCAATTTAGACTGCTTTGAGGTTCCCAAAAGCCAATTGTTTTCACCAGAATATAATTTATTTCCAGGCTGTATTTTTTTCTAATTAAGAATAAACTTTTAAAAGAAAATGATTCATACATGGACTTGCTGTCTTTGGGGATTTCTTCAGGACAGTTGAAACTGAAACTTTCCTGTAGATCAGAATAGCATTTGATGAAGAATTCATATTGAGTGTCATCAAAATTTCCTAAAAACATCTATCAATCCCTCTCCACATATAGCATAAAAAAAAACAATATAGACAACAAAAAAAAATCTTTCCTTTTGCTAATTAAAATTCAATGTGAATGAAGTAATTATGGTCACATTTCTCATATTTTCACTCCATCAAATTATAAATTTGGCTGCATCTCTTTTTGATTTTCCAGAGACCCTTACAATGCAATCGAAGCCATTGACCCAGAGAAGCTGAATGTCTTTCGGACAGTCAGAGAGATAACAGGTAATTTTTTAAAGTACAACTGTTGTGCTATGAACTATGTAAATTTTGATGTTTTCTTGAAGACATTATGTAGTACTAGAATCAGCAACTCATTTTTAAAGCAAAGTCTAGTTTGTAAAGGCTCATGCCATTTTGAACAATGTGTGTCTTACTCCTTAGTTTTTGTGCACATTTTGATATCCCATGTAATTAAAAACCTAAATATCCTTGAAATTTTGATGTTACTGTTTTTGCCAATGTCAACTGATCTTTGAACACGTGTCTGTATTTAAATTTCCCAAAAAAGTACTATGTAACATGTAACATTATTTTAGTACATATTTATTGAGCGTCTAATATGTTCAAGGCTGTTATAGTAGATGATATGGGGCCCATAAATATGAATCAGACATGGATTTACCATCAGAGAATGTAAAATCCAATGAGGAAGGTTATATATGTACATAAATGGCTTAGACTTCAAGGTAGACACCGATGTCATATATATATGATAAAGTGGTGAAGGATAAACTGTTTTTCTCTTTATCTTGTCAGACTACATTTTTTTCATTTACAAGAATATATCAAACTGAATCATTTAAATCTTTTAACATATACAGTTTTGTGATTCCGTATGTCTGATAAACATGAATTTTTGGTGCTCATTATTTTGAAATCCACTGNATAGTTCCTTTGTTACAAAAGTTCAATACACCAGATAGAAACAAGATGGTTCTAAATAATCTGTATGAAGATCAACTTACAAACAATATTATGAATATTATGTCAAATCACAAATAGATAAATGTAGAGCTACAGAAAAAAAAAAGGTTGACTTCACCCGTGCTTGTTTCTATCCTTATGAGTTACAGGTGTTATTAGCAATTTAGATTGCTTTGAGGTTCCCAAAAGCCAATTGTTTTCACCACAATATAATTTATTTCCAGACTGTATTTTTTTCTAATTAAGAATAAACTTTTAAAAGAAAATGATTCATACATGGACTTGCTGTCTTTGGGGATTTCTTCAGAACAGTTGAAACTGAAACATTCCTGTAGATCAGAATAGCATTTGATGAAGAACTCATATTGAGTATCATCAAAATTTCCTAAAAACATCTATCAATCCCTCTCCACATATAGCATAAAACTATTTANCTTGTCAGACTACATTTTTTTCATTTACAAGAATATATCAAACTGAATCATTTAAATCTTTAAACATATACAGTTTTGTGATTCCGTATGTCTGATAAACATGAATTTTTGGTGCTCATTATTTTGAAATCCACTGTTTATTCAGTTTTGCAGCACAGAAACTTTGGGTAAGGCACTCAATCTTGGAAGAATAAATATGTGATAGAACGCTTTAAAAATAGAAGTGTTCACTGCCCTTTCTTTTCCTCCCACCTCTCAACACGTTTTAATCATATTTCAAGAATAATCAACACTCCTACGAAGACATGATGTTCTGATTTATTTTTATTGTCCTTGTCACTTGTAGGTTTCTTGAACATACAATCATGGCCACCAAACATGACCGACTTCAGTGTTTTTTCTAATCTGGTAACAATTGGTGGAAGAGTACTCTATAGGTGGGTGTATATGTTTAAACTTGTAGGTCTCCCAAATTTTAAGAGTAGAATCATGTGTACATTAACTCAAAACCATTGGTATTACTGACTTATTGATTCTGAGGATATCATGTTTCCACCTTTAATTCCAAAGATAAGCTCAGTGAAAATACTCCTGATGATGATATAAAATATAGAGAATACATAGTTTGCATTTTCAACTGCCTGTCACTTAAATACAGCATTAGTGTTTTGAAGGTATAGAGTGCATGATGTGAATCATAAAACAGAAACTTCTATTTGATCATATGTTATAATAAAAAGACAGAGTTGGGTGACTTGGTAATGACAGGTATACGGGATAGAAATCCTATTTTACCAGGAGGCTTTGTTTTTGTCTCTGGTGCTATCATTTGAACCATGCACCATAGGGCTGATGTTTCAGGAGTTGGTGTATCACTCTATATACAACGCTGGTCAACAAACAAACAGGAAAATTAGAGCTAAGAAAAACATTGTTCTAAAATTCTAATTTCAGTATTTTAAATTCACATGATAAAGATAAATAATGCAGTCTTCACTATGCCACTGCTTTTATTTTAAGTTTATCTAAGATTTCATGTGTATGAAGTTCTTATTAATGAATGATTAGAAGTTGATTTACATGAGGAGACTTTATTTAATTGTGTGTTTAAATCTGAAAGATGTCTAAAATCAGTACTATCATGAATACTTTATAATAGTGTTTTATAGAAAATACATAGAATTTTATTATTAAAATCTAAAACAGGCATATCTGTTAGAGGTTTAAGAAATGTAAAGGGGAATGGAGCTTAATAAAAAAGGATAGTTGAGAGAAACAACCTACCTAACTGCTATATACAAACAACTTTTAGTATCCATTGAATAAAATGTTATTAATTAGTCAAGGCATTGCGCTGACATAGTAATCAACAACTCAAGTGATTATTTAGATGGGAACAAAAACATAACAGAATTAATTTCATCTCAGTCTTTATCATTGAGCATAGACACATGCACACACATGAAAAGCCAATATTAACAGAAAAGTGTACTTAACAGAAAAGTATACTTGTAATTACAAATGGAAAGGGAAAACTTTTATCTCTAAAATGTAAAATAGTGTTCATTAGTTGATTGAAATGTAGGAAGCATATTTATTTTTTAGAGAATTGTAAAAAATAATTATAAAAATGTGGACTATGTTGAAATGAAAATAATTTTCTTGAAATGATAATTAGTTTACACAGAGTGGTTGTTATTTAACTTTTAGAGGAGTTTTCCCCAGCTGTCCGAGCCTTCTGAGTACTTTTTTTAAATTTTAGTTTAATTTTCTTTTTTCTTTTTAAGTTTTAATATTTCCTAACCTTATTTACACATTCTTCAACTATTACCATTCTTTGGTTTATTTATACATTAAAGCTAAATACCTTTATTCATTTTCTGCAATATCTACACTCTGAAACCATGTCTAAATCTATTATGTAGTTACAATAGAATTAATGTCTTACTTTGGGTAGGTGAACAATCATTCTGTAAACATTTACTTAATCTTAAGTACAAAATTTTATTATTGAGGAACTTAAAATATGAGCTGGGGAAGAGAAGGCAGTGAGCAGTTATTTCGGTGATGATAGATAGATAGATAGATAGATGATAGATAGATATACGTGTAAATTGTTAATATTCATAATTCAAAGAAATGGACATTTTCCTTTCGGGAGCAAAATTACTACTTTTAATACTGACAGTATATAGTATGCAAAGAAAAAATAACATTCTGAGCACATATTATTGATTCAATCTCCATTATGCTCCATTAATATTCTTTTTGTAGTAAGATGTGACATCCTTATTTTACTTCAGGAATGCATTTCATAACCAGAAAATATTTATCATTATTTTATCCCTTCCTCTTCCCCTCCTTTAGTGGCCTCTCCTTGCTTATCCTCAAGCAACAGGGTATCACTTCTCTACAGTTCCAGTCCTTGAAGGAAATCAGTGCAGGAAACATCTATATTACCGACAACAGCAATCTGTGTTATTATCATACCATTAATTGGACAACACTCTTCAGCACAATCAACCAAAGAATAGTGATCCGGGACAATAGGAAAGCTGAAAACTGTAGTAAGTACATTACCCAGATATTTAAAACATAGAAACTTTAAAATTTTTCTCCCAGTCTACATTGGACCAAACAATTAAAATTTAAAAAAAAAAAAAAAGAGGTCAGTCTTGTTACCATCTTATCCCAACTTTTAAAAAAGTGGTGATTATTATAATTAACCATATGGTATAAAATAAACAGAATAAGTGAATTTTTCCAACATATCACATGTTTGCAGATTTTGCCTAATCTTAAGAACCCTCTTGAGGAGATTTCGATTCAATAAGTCTATTTGGAACCTGGGCATTTAAACATTTAATAAGCATCCCAGGTATTGCCTTGGATCCAATCAGTTTGTGGAAATTCACCTTACTGAATTCTCTGCTGTTTGATTTCAGTGATTTTAATAAGAGAGTTTTGCCATTTGGAGTTGTTAGGACAAGTGAAGATATGTTTTTCTGAAATGTGTAGAAAATCTGTTCAAGAAGCTTACTATTAAAGAAGTTTTACTGTTCAATAAGAAAACTCATTTTATAAGTGTATTTATATAGGCATGCCATTATCTCTTTTTTCATTTATTTTGCTACTTATTGATCCACTTCATCACTTTTTCATTGCACCAAAGCAAATGATGTTTTCATAGGCATGCGGCTGTGCCATTTCTATCTAATACATTCATATTCCAGTGATTAATACTTATTTCTTCCTTGTTTTTCTACTGAGTACTACTCCAATCTGCATCCTACGAGTGCCACTACTATGCATATAACTATCTGACTTATTTATGGTAAATGCCAAATAAAAATACTTAGAATTCAAATGAGTTTGCAAGTACCTGTTTTTGTTCTGGGGATAATGAATCAGTCTCTCTCTCTCTCTTTTTTTTTTTTTCCTTTTTTGTCTTTTTTCGTGTCCGGCAACGGATCGCAACCCTCAGTGTTGCGCCCGTACCGGACCGGGACCAGTAACGGGATCGCAACCCTTGGTGTTGCGCCCACACCTCGCTCAGCCAGTGAGCGGGAACCGGTCTGTATGTGGGATCCGAACCCTCGGCGGGAGCACCACCGCGCTCCCAAGTGGCGCACTGTAGCAGTGCACCACCAGGCTGCCCCAATCAGTCTCTCTTTAAAGGCAGGTTCCCTAGGAAAAATTTTGCTCTTAGGTGTTCTTACTTCCTTGATCTCACCTTTGGAACAATCATAAAGTACACATAAATGACGATTGAGTTCCTTTGTACGTACGAATGAAGAGTGTGTGTGTGTGAATTTATATAATTTTTTAAATTATGAACTCTTAAGAGAACAACATGGTTTAAGCTTACTGAGTTAAGTAGCCACTGGATTAATTAATTTATGAATACCCCACCTTGTTTCCAAAAGGGTTTAACACAGCTCACACTAGCGATTTTTATAAAATATAACTTATAAGTTATGAGGAACTCAAATTATTTTAGACAAAAAGCTAATATCATCTACATTTCCATCCTTAAAAATATTTTTCAGAGAAAGGAAATCTATTGCAACATAAGGCTCTAGCTTTGAGTGAGCTTAAATTTGTTTTACATTCTTATGTTCCATATAGAATCAAGGAATATAAAATCTAATTATGTATCAAAATACACATGTTCATATTGAATGAGATTCATCCTTTCATTTAGCCTGGATTATTTCCTTGGTTTCATATATTGCTGATTCCTTTCAGAAAGTTTGCTTTGCTTTTTGTCTTTTAAGTTTCTTACTTCATATTTCTATGTATGTGTGTATGTATATGCCCCAGACCAAGTAGATGATTCATGGCAGTAAAATAGGATCTTCTTCAACACTGATTATTAAGTATTTCCTTAAGTTAGGGTTATACTCTCCTTATTTTCTACTTCCTTCAAAAAAAAAAAAAATAAGCACCAGTACATTTCAAAGATAAGATTTAACTATGAAGACAAAAAAAATTTTTTGAAGAAAAGCCCTAAAGAATCAGAGAAACATTTCTTTCTGACACAATCAGTTTACAAATCCTACAAACATTTATATTTCTTTTATCTTTTTTATACCCAAACAAAAAAGCATATACATAAAGAAATTAAATGTAGAAAAGCAAGATGAGGAAAAAAGAAAGATTTTAATAAACTATATAATGTTATTCCATACCGCCTAAAGACTTTTACACTTTTCAAACAACCGAGAGAGAGTAAATGACAATAATAATAATAATAATAATAATAATAATAATTATAAACTAAAAATCTAAGATGTTCTTATACTTTCAGTGTTATGCCTCTTGGACTGAGTTTAGCCACTTTTCAGACTGTGAACATATTTTCTTGTTCTGTGCACTTGGAGTTGACTTTGTAGTTTGGGAAAGAAATGAAGCAGTTGGGAGAAATGTAGTTTTGTGCTGCTATAGTATAAAATCAAGCATATTATTTTTCATTTTAACATCTTAGAATAAATATATTTTGCATGAAATCCATTTATCAAAATTTAGACTTCAGTCTCACAGCACATTGGATCCATGAAAATCTCATATACTTGTATTTTCAGAAGTGTAAATACCCTGTAAACTTGACATTAAAGATGCTGCTGCTGATGTTTACAATGAGCCCGTAATGGTTCCTCACATATAATTAAAATCTTCTTATCCATAGTACTATCTGCAAATGGGAAGTCCTAAATATTTGCTTCATTTTAAATGCACTATAAATATCACACTTTTAGATATTCTTGCTTTGTATACCATACACACACAAGATATGTACAATTGTGTACACATATTCACTTTAACACATAAGCCTACACGTAAATACAGCATACTTGTGTGTTTGCATATGCACATACAACACATATTTATGTAAATACACCTAGAACATACAAACACACACACATATACATGCCCACTTACTTACACACACACGGTCACCACAAAATACTCTGATCTAAATCTGGGAGTTGGCTTGTTAATTTAAAAGAAAAAGCAACCTTTCATTAATAAAAGAGTTTTTTGGAGTTCAAAATGATTTAAAACAGTAATGACAATAAAAGAAAACCTTCACCTCATCTGTAAAGGGTTACAGTGGCTTGAGAAATCTTGCTCTTTCAAGTCAAAAATTTCAAAGCAGACTTTATGGTTTGAAGAGATTGAGATTGAGAGAAACTCTAGGACATGAAAAGCTAGAACATTTTCTGCCTCCTTCATTTATGTGGTTATGGTACTAACGAAATGACAGTGCTAGTGGAAGAAGTTTTAGGGTAGATTTATAAAAGTATTTGAAGTTTCTTAAAATAGTTAAGCATAAATTTTTAACACTGAAATATAGAAAGTGTAGAGATAAATATTCAGAATCCCAGTTACATTTGAACTCATGCATTTCATGTCTTAAAAATATTTGTGTATGTACAGTTAAATCCAGCATAAATAAGAAGAAATTAAATTCATTAGATATTTTTCAGAACAAAAATCTTTTATTTTTCCAGTTATAATAGTTTCTCACTGTTGAAATTCTAAACAATCAAAACATGTATAATTTTTGGTGAATAAATATGTAATATATACATGGCTGAAGATAATAAACTGTTTTCATATATGAATAGAATCATACCATATGTATTTAAATACTGTTCAGCTATCTGTACCTTCTACTTAATATATTATGAGCATCTCCCATGCCAGCAGATAGAGCTCTTTCTTATTCATTTAACAAGCTGTATATAAAAGTGTTTATTCAATCAGTATCATATTAGTGGTAGCTTAAATTATTTTTCATTTTTTAATGTTACAACTACTGCCATAATGTGTATCCTCGTTCATAAAACATTTTCCAATTCCTGAAGCTAAAAACCTAGAATTGGAATATCTGTATAAATGAAGCTCCATAAAAGTTTTTTTACATATTACTACATCATCTTTCAAAAATTCTGGATGAGTTTACACTTGTCCCCCAAAAAGGTGAAAAAGGAAATTGGAAAGTTAAACTGCTAATAACTGAACCTCTGGCTGGCAACATGATCCAATTCTACAATGAGTCACTACAGGTCCAGAGTTTAATCCTGACAAGGGGTTGATGAGTAGGGAATCTGTCACCAGTAGAGAATGAAACAATGTCTGCTTAATATATTCTTTTATCTGTTTTTCTCTGGTAACTGTGATAATAACAACAAAATCATAAGCACTGTGCTTTCCATAACTTCATGAGAAATTTAGCTTTGTATAAAATCACAATTCAAGGTATATCAGTATCATGACTGCCTCTAAGATGTTGTATATTAAAGAAAATAACTTTTTATTATAAATTAAGATTTATCTTGTATTAAGAAAATATTACTAAGGTGGTAGATTTCTTACTTTCTCTCAGTTTGATATTCTTGCCTTTAATTTGTGCATTCCTAGCCCAATCCATATTATCTTGGGTAAATGTGCATTTACAACAGATTACTGCCTGCCAGGTTACAGGAATCATCCTTTGGACCTTGTAGCCTTTCTTTACTGGGACATTAATAAACTCTCTCACAATTTTCATTAAACCATAGCTTGGTATGAACCACAAAGTGCAGAACAAAATATAGTTAAGTCACTGTTCTTCTAAGTAATCAGAAAATAAAAAAATACTAATCATATTTCTAAGATTTTCTTCTTAAAATTTCCAAAGTAATGTGTCAATGCACTGTTCTTTGTAAAAAGAATATTCAAATAAGATTTTCTTATTGTATTTGAAACAATACAATGTCTAATTATTAACAACACTACGAAATGTTCTCTATGTTCTTATCAACAGGGTAATAAGCATTTACTGTTGCCAATTAGTTTCAGAAATGATACCCCTTCTATTTTGCAATCTAAAATTTCTGAAGGAATAAAGGGCCTCTCAGCAATAAAAACAAGGATTACTGCAGGCTTCAGTTTCTATTCTAGAAATGGAAGTATTTTAACCTGACTTGCCTCTGTATCAGTGGTTGCAAAATTTTAAATTTAAAACTTTTAATTATTAAAAATGCAAAAGTCTGGGCTCCAGTTTCCAGAGATTCTTATT